TCTAACATCATTTTACAAAATAGATGCAAATTAACTGTTTATTTATGTAATTTAATTTATATTTCCGGGTATTTGAGAAAATACAGCCAATAAAGATGTAGTGAAGTGGAAAAATGACAGATTTTAAACAACACTGATCATCTGCTTACAATGTTCTTCTGGGAAACATTGAGTCCAGGTATTCAGAACTTATTTGTATTTATTGTCAGTAACGTATTGTACTTACATCTTATTCCACTCGGCACTGCATTTCCCGTTATGTACCTTTGTTTTCCAAAATCAGGTAAAAGAATTTCCTTTGGGATTAATAACATTTTATCTTATCTTATCCTAACACTGTTTCAGAACGCATGCATTCCACAGCGCTCCCCCAGCAGGACAACCGAACTGCTTAGGAACAGCTTGAGGAACATACCAAAGAGTTCAAAGCCTTTGAGCTCCCCAGATCCCAATCTGACGGAGCATCTGCGGATTAACAAGCCAGATCCATGAAGGCAACAACCCACAGGACCCGACCAGTCTGCTGCCAACGTTCCAGACTCCACAGGACACGTCCAAAAGTCTCCAGAGCTGCTTTGGCTTCACAAAGATGGTCTGCACAGAACTAGGCAGATGGTTTTATTGTTGTGGCTGCCCAGTCAATCTAAATGTGTCTATTTTTAAAAGCAATGGGTTTATATCTGAAGGGTTTGATAGCGGTTTCCACACAACAGAGAAGTGAATTATGTAATTTCCATGGGCCTATACTGTGGGTGGAATTTGCTCGACTGCATATTGATTAAACAAAACTCTTATAAGTGAGTCACATTTTACCATAAAATCTATTTGAATCATCTGGAGAAGTCAACATTTAAACAGGGATCCCATTCCTGAGGTACATTCTATGCTGTTCACACATCATAAATACCGATTAAAGATTCTGTAGATTGGACTCAGTTTTCTGTCTGCGCTGCCGTCTGTCTTTGGATGATTGCCTGTTTGCAGATATTAACCGAATAATCTCCGATCTGAGGACTCGGAGTGAATTCCGTCCAAGTCTGGCTTTTCACTTTGAGAAGGAGCTATTGTTCAGTAATCCTCCAGATTAAACCCCCAACTCCCTGCAGGTTTTAGTGGATTCTTCGAAAGTCCTCACTTTGCCCCTCGATCTCAGGATGTAAAGATACAATTTGCGCGATAATTAATATCTACGATATTTAAATTTTACCCTTACAGCTCTGATGCTTTGTCCTTTGCGTCATCCCTTAAAGAGACCTGTCACATGTGATATAGAGAGACTTAATTCATGCAATAATCACCAAGCGCTCGAACAGAAAGAGAGAAATTAAATGACTCTCTGAAATATTGCACTAAATGGACAAAAGCTGCTTCCTTTCTTTATTCATATTCATGAGCTGGTGAACAATTTGAATGAGTCTCATAAGACTCAAAGACAAATTCAAATCCTCCAACAGACTGAAACCTTCGGCACCATTGTTCAGATGTATACTGTTCATTTACAGGAAATCAGCAGAACGCTTTGACTGTTCTTTGCAGAATACGCTCTGTGAACTGTTAACGTCTTTGTGTTCTGAGTTTTGTAAGCCATCGATCATTCATATTGGACGTACAGTGAGCCTGCAGAGATCCCATTTCTACTTCCTTCATGGTGTTTTAACATCGGAGGGATTTTTTTCAGTCGCTCCTTGCAGGGACTTGAGCTGCAGGGGCAGGAGGTGGAGTTCTGGAGCAGCTGGAGTTTCAATTTTGTCTCAGTGGCCACTCATCATCTGACTCAACTGTAATGAAGTGATGTCCTGCTGAGAACTCTGACTTACGACGGAGCGAATGGAGAATGACATCCACCTAGACGTACACGGTCCTTATTTTTACGGTGAAGCAGCGAAGCGCTACAGTGTCTGTGTGGCTTCCGTGTCTGTGTGGCTTCCGCGTGGATTTTTTAATCTCGTGCAGGAGAGCGGAGGTGATTTCCACTAAATCGAACTAAATTAAAAAATTTAATGTAGCATATTATGTAGCAAAAGATGAAAATTAGAAGTGAAATTTCAACTAAAACCACCTCAATCAAAGAAATCTCATCAGTCTTGTGATTTTCTTTGCCACACTGAAGCCTTTGAGCTGCATCAGGAGCAGCAGGTCACTCGAATATAAACTGCAACTAAACAAGGGGGTGTGAAAATTAAAGTTTAATATTCTAAATAAAAAGGAAATATTTGTGAAATCACTTTTGATTAATCGGAAATTAATCTAAAAGTCATTAAATGTGAATTTAAAAATATATATATAAAAAGGGGAATTGTGTGACTATTTACATTTACAGATTTTTAACGTTATTTTTCAGCAGATATGTAAATTTGTCAATTTTACAGTCACATTTATATTTTCCTCTAATTAAAAATACATTTAATAATATATATAAAAAAATGGAAACAGAAGGACCAAACATGGTGTCAACACTGTTCGGCTGAGTTTTTACAGGATCGGGTTATTTTTTTGATATATTTTTAGTCAATTTCTACATAAGGGATATAGAATAAAGGGATTTTGATGAAACATCATGATTTTAAGCTTATTTTAGTTTCAGTTTAGTTAAAGTAGTCCAAGGACTTACTTTTTTTTTCTTTTTACAGTTTCTGTCTATGATAAATGGTATAATTTTGGTGATTTTATAAAGACAACACACCTTTGAAACCCAACGTCGGGTACTGGAGTTTAGTAGGTAAAGCTAAATTAAGCCACACTAAGTTAAGCTAAGCTAAGCAAAGTTAAGTTAAGTTAAGCTAAGTTAAGTTCAGTTAAGTTAAGTTAAGTTAAGTTAAGCTAAATTAAGCTAAGCTAAGGTCCAACTGCTGTTCACATGGAACCCTTCTCCACTTTGACCTTCAAGGTTCTCGCTTGACTATCAGCTATAGATTCATGATCTTGCTGGCTTTTGGACAGTGGTTCAACAATATCTATTCAATGTGTTTAGATATGATCAGAGTACAGATATCTTTATGTCTCGATCATTGCAACCCAGTTCCGTTAATCCAGTTTGAAATAATCCAACACCTCCTGACCAGTTCGAGCCATTCTGCATTCAATCTATTATCTTTAAAAGTTGCAGTCGAAGGATGAGGTCATTTCATAACATCTTATTTATTTATTTATTTATTTATTACAATTGCTATGAGTCAACGTGGCAAGTTACATCTGGTGGCAAATTGATGTATAATTATTCATACCCTTCAACAGATTATAAATGATCCATTGCTCATTTAAAATGATGGATTGGCGACTTATATCTTTCCTCCTTTTTTCGCCATGATCGGATGCATCCATCAGGCAACTATTCTTTCGCCTGACAGGCTGAAACTGTGATCTTTCATGGTGATCAAAACTCTCACCATCCGTTACTTCTCTCTGTCCCCATAAATGACCAGCGAAGCGTCGGTAAATCAAAGCTGAGGAGTAATAACTTGTGCCGCTTCTTTTATAAGGACTTCTGAACCTGTCTCGGCTGACGCATTTACATGCACTTTATGTCCGGCGGCTCTTTCACTTGAGATACGCAGACACCAACAGCGGAATATGCTGCAGGCAGACCGATGGGTTTTTGTTTTATAATAGATAAAGACACAGACAAAAAGAATAAAAAAGGCGCGATTATTATGAGACTGTACATACTTCAAATGTAAATCTTGTTTATTACAACTTTGGTATGAATTTCATAGTTTCAGCACTTGTTCCCGCTGTCAGAACATCGCAGTTACCGAGTTCACTTTGGAGATTCGGGAACAAAAAGAAAAACAACCAATCAAACCACCAAACAACGCAAAAAAGAGAAAGAAAAAATGAACACCAATGCATAAAAGAAGATACACAATAGGTGATTGCAGTAAACTGTTTCTACACTGGTGTTAGTGAAATTTGTTTAGGCAGAATCAAAACTAAACCCCCTTTATGATTCCTTTGGAGTTGTAACTCTTGAAAACTGGTTCCTGATTCCCAACTGTACCCAACACCTGCTGTAACCTCAGTAAAGCGTGACAAACTTGAAGTTTTAAGTCTGTCTTCTTCATGTTTTTAACCAAACACACTTAATTTTGTGTGGGAATCCGAGGAATAGCCAACAAACTTTGCTTTCTTGTGAAGAGTAGAAGTTGCTTGAAGAACCTCTAATGACTCAGAAGAAGATTTCTGGAGGAGTTTTTTAAGTTGGGTCTTGACTTAACTGAAACTTTACACCTGCTTTCACAGTTGCTATTGTAATTGTGTATATTGCTATAACTTAACTGTTCAAGTTTATAATATAAACAGTTTGGTTCATTTTATGATGGTTGGTTCATTTTAATATTTTCAGCTAATATAAAAGTATTTTGAATAATCTGAATATTTACATAATATATATATAATCTATGAGAGTCGAGAGGACGAAGCCAGAAGTCAGAGGTGTTGCTTCAGTACCAGGGATTAAGTCTTTCTAGAGAGAAGTCAGAATTTGAAGCGCATCACAGGTCAGAGTGTTTTTTTCCCCATCATAAACAGTTAAATAACACACTGAGGAATTCTTGTAGGTTGGCGTTTATAGGTTATAGTGTTTTGGCATTAAATTATGGAGCTCTTCTAAACAATATCGGAGATAATAATGCAAGTTTTAGAGACTGGTTTTGTATTTTGGGGTAAATTGGGAGTTGGTTTGTTTACATTTTGCCAAAAGAATTGTCAGCAAATTAGTATTAATTAATACCAAGGTTAATGTTTGACTAAATGTAAACAAATTGATGTTTTTTCTCATATATGAGGTTGGATAACATCAGACTGTAATAATTATGATAAAGATTATTATAATGAAAAGTGTAAAACAGAGCCTTTGAACTCAAAAGATTCCTCAACAGTGTCAGTGGTGAGGAACCCCAAAAGGTTTCTCAAGGCTTTTCTACTTCTCACAGTGTACAAGATCCTTCATTTTTGCTGCTGATTTATCTGAACCCTCATCCCTGATGTGTAAAGTAGCTTACCTTGAGCACAGTGGATCCCAGCTCTAGGCCCACCAGCACTGTCCTGTCCACCAGCTCCGCTATCCGGGGGTCGGCCACTTTCAGAGAGTCCTGGACCAGGTCCGTGACGTCCACCTGCCAGTCAGGCCCCAGCATGGTGATGACTTGGTCGGTGCCCTCCGTGGATGTGGTGTGGAACTGGGTCAGCACCTTGACCAGGGCCCGCTGGTACTGCAGGGTGCAGCCTCGACTCACCCGCCGCTCGTCGTCCTCGTCGTCTGCATCACTGTCCCTGGTGCTCCTTGGACGGGGAGAAAAGGGGACATGTAATTTTAGAAAATGAAAATCCATGAAAACGCTGCTCTATCTGGTGTCGAGGATGCAGCAGACACAGACGGAGTTCTATCCTTAGCCACTCGTGAAGACTGTGGGTGCCAATTTTAGGTGGCTGTGAAATTTCCCGCAAAAAAAAGGCAATTGAGGTGGCAGCGTTTGAGAAGCGAAGCTCAATACCAATCACCAATCATAACTTCTTTAAAACCGAGCATCTGCTGCTGAATTATGCTCAGCACTGTGTCACGATGCTGTGTCTCAATTTGTTCCTTCTGTTCTTAAGGGTCTCTACTCACTTTATAATTTGACATCATAACGCTGATGAGAAACTCGGCACCACTCCACACAAATCCATCACATTATCTGTTCTGATGCAGTGGCGATGAGGAAAAAGTCCTCCGAGCCAGCAGGGAAGGAATGATAAGCACCACAAAGCAGAGTTTTGGACGGATGCCCTTCTTATTTCACAGGAGCCCTGGGCAGTGAGGTTAAACATGCCAGGTGCATCCCCCACTGAGTGCAATCTGCTCTACAGCAAGATGTATGGGTTACCCAACTTCCCTTCGAAGGCTTGACAATCTGCCAGTTCCTCCTTAAAAAGCTCTCTGCTTAATCTTTGCTTTGACTTAACTATCTGGATGACTTGGGATTCAGGAGAGGCAGCCGGCTGTCAGCCACCGACAAAGTATACATCCCACCCATTAAGTCGAGGAGCAGGTTTGATTATTAGGCTAAGCGCTTCTGTCCTGAGGTCTCATAAATGCTTCCAACAGACTCCTTGAACAACACAATGCATTGTTACATGTGCCTTTAGACCCGTCCCACCTACTGGGCTCCATTATTAATTCATCCTAGCGCTCCACCTCTACACACCTCATCATTTCCAGCAGTACCTCGACACTCCGCCGCCTAGAACTCTGTACTGGCAGGTTGCATTATGTTTAAAAACCAAAGGGCCTCCATTCAGACTCTCTCGGGTATTCGGAGCTTCCTGCATAAGCTTGTTCATTGAATTTCCCCAAGAGGATGAATGAGGGATCTATCTGTCTTTTCTGTAAATGGAAGCAACATTAATGTCACTTCATGAACCTTTTTTCTGCTAGTTAACCTTGAATCACTGGATTTATCACCTTTGCAGTGATAGTTGGATGAATTGGTTGCTTTGAAATAAATGAAAGCATAAAATGTTTTTGCAGTTAATGTGGAGGGGTCACTATGCATTCAATAGAAAGGAACTTTACAAGTAAAAGCTGCAAAGATTGAGAATAGACGTCTGATTACATTACAATGTAAAATATATATATCACAGTGAAAATCTGGCAGTCAGAAAATAATGACATGAAACATTAAAAATATTATGTTCAGAAACTGTAAAAACAGGAAAATAATGGCAAATATGTGTTAAATAATGTTTTTGTTTTAGCTGATTTAAATACAGGAAAATCACATTAGGTACAGTTTTCGCAAATTAACACTTTTCCCCTTTATATTCCTAGATATTATCTCTAAATCAGTTTAAGAAAACCCATTTTTATCCTTAATATACACATTTATTCTTATAAATAACAACAACTGTCTGTAATAATAATGATATTTTTTGTTGGTTTAAATGCAGTAAAAAATAAGAAACTGTGTCTTTTGAGCAGTCTATGATGGTTATTATGGGCTGCAGTTTTATCTGGTTTCAAAGCAGTGATTTGGCCATTTGTAGTTCCAATAATACTGGACACTGATTTTGTCTCACATCTTAATACACAAATTGGGATTGAGATTATAATTCTACACATTCACATATGTAGGCTGCTGCAGGGTTGACACCTTCTTTGCATGTGAGTTAACAAAACTCTGAAAGTTGCACATTTGCAGCATTAAAGTGTTTAATAAAGTTCATAATTCAGACTGTGGTGCTACAAAAAACAAACAAAAAAAACATTTGGAAAACAAATGCCAAGATCCTGAATCACACAAACAAATCTGAAAATACACACTTAGTAGGGAAGATAATATCTGACTTAACACACATGTGTTATTGTGTCCATATGCACAATATGCATATGTGTGTCCAATAAACTGATGATCGTTTCATTCAAAAGCTGTTTCTCCTTGTATGAGTTTGTTGACTTTTTAAAAGTTGCAGCATGATTATTTAAAACTCAGACCGTGGCTGCAAAAACACCATTAGGGAAGTTGATCACACTGCTTATAATTCTGGGGGAGACTGTAATTTCTGATGCATTTTGATTTTGTTTAAAGAAGAAGAAGAATAAAGGAGCAGAAGAAGAATATAAGTATTTATTATGCAGCAGAAAATCTACCCTTGAACCACTTTGTTCTGCAAATAATTCAGGAAAATTCGAAGGGTAATTCCATCCATTTTACACAAGGTTTACTCATCTCGAGGAGCACTGCTCCCCTGTGAAAACACTTATGTAATACCTGTGGCTCTTTGATAAGTATCAGAAAAAACCCTGAAGATGTTGTCAGGGTTATCCGAGGTTAGGCTTTGAGAGTAAGAATGTATAACAGAGAACCTGTGTTACAAGCTGAAGGTTTAAATAGAGGTGAGGTCTAACAAGAGAATACGACCGGGTGCGCTATGGAAGTTTGATTCATACCAGGTATTAAAAGTCAGAATATCTCAGCTGCTGTTCTCTAAAAAGGAGCAAATCTAAATGACTGGAGAACCTTTAAAAGGTAAAACTGAAAAAAGGAGCCCTAATCAATAGCAACTACTGGATGTTGTCTGTTACTTTAAAAAGTTGATGCAAGAAAACACTAAACTGTGAAAATGGAACCTATGGAGTCTTCTCTACGAGTTGACCGACTCTTTCTGCTCTGACTGTAAGCTGGCCTTGGCACTGACAGCTTCAGGACAAGCAGTCGCTGTTGTACTTAGAAGGAGGGCGAGTTAACTCCACAGCAGACACTTAGACCGCACACTCGCTTACGCATTCAGTTAAAGGCAGAGAAAACCCAAAGAGACAATAAGACTGTCAAGGAGTTTCACAACTCTTGGCTCAGGTCAGTGAAAGTTTACCTTCCTGAGTCTGTACCTGAAAATAAGGTTGATATTTTTTCTCCTCAAGAAGAATATTGTCTGTTCTTATTAGAGTCTCTGATACAAGCGTACAAGCTGAAGCTTCAGTGCACACGGCCTGCCTGCCCGATTACACTTCCTTTCCTTTTTTAGAGCATGTTACTGGATAATGCAGCCAGTGAGCAATTCTGCTGCACTGTAGCAAAGGCCCCACTGCAGGCCAAAGAGACCTTGCTGTGTACGGAGGTCCAGAATGTGTCACTTTGCAGAACTGAAGGAATGTAGGACGAAAAGACTGCGGCACAAAGGAAAATAAGAGTTAAGGAGTGCAGGGGGTTAGAGGTTGTGGAGAAGGAGAGCATTTGTGAGAGAAGGAGGTAAATAAGAGAGGAGTTAGCGAAAAGACAATAATTCCGGCTGATAATATAGATAATCATCGTGATTTGGTTTCACTGGAGTGTGTTGGAAATGACTAATGAGCTGTGTTACAATGTGTGAGAGATCTTATTTTCCATCTAACTTTCAGGTGTTATTTACTCTGCTTTGTGAGGCCTTTTGTAAACATCATCTCATTCATTATCGCAGCGCTTCATAATGACTGCAAACAAACCAGACCAAGGTCAAGACAAATACAAGCCGCCGCTTCGTGCCAGTGCTATTGTTGGTGTTGGCATTACTCAAAAATAAGATGATCACTTGTAAACCTCGTTGCCTTGTCCGACCCTCCCTCCTCCCCGGTATCTTGGCATCGGACACGATGCCAGTCTTGTGGACAGTTTTTGGCTCTGCCTTGCTGAGTTCGTGGCTGATGTCCAGGTTGTTGTTTTGCAAGTCACAAAGATGTTTCAAAGTCTCCACACTCAAGTTTAGGCCTGGATCCCGAGTCCTAAACTTCGGGTCAAAAAATAGATGTCCATCAAGTTTAGTGAGAGTTAGCTGACAAAGAGTTGGTCATTTTACAATATTTGACCTTTCATTTTCCTTATTTTTTCAGTATTTTTGAAATACATGTAAATATCAATATTATTAGAACAATAAACATGAATAAAGTTACATGTACAATGTCACATACAATTAAACACTATAACTTTAAAAGAACCATTTTTTTAAAGAAACGGAAATTTCATAAATTTATTGTAATCTATCAAATATATATTATATTAAGTCTTATACTTTAAACATGTAAATGCTCTTTATTAACCATTAAAATAAAAGGAAAACTTTAAAATTCCAGATATTCATGAGATGATTACATTATGTCTTTATTTTTTTTACATGTACTATATAACAACAATATAAGAGAACGTTTAAGACCGAGACTTAACTGTGACTAACTATAAAATAACAACAACAACAATAATAATAATATAATAATAATAATAATAATAAAATGAATCTTTTGAGATAAAAAACTTAAAATACATTCACAAATGTTTTTTAAATTTCAAAATTCAGTCCTATTATTTTGTATATAATGATGATATTTAATACCGTAAATATATTTGTCTAAAATTCAATAAGTATAATCAGTAACAATTAGAAAAAGGAATATTGGTTCTGGAAATTCACATAGATGTCTTTCTTAATGAGACATATTTTATATATTTACAGAAGCTCTCACAAATGGTAAATGGTCTGCACTTATATAGCGCTTTTCTACCTTTGCGGCACTCAAAGCGCTTTACAATGTTTTCTCATTCACCCATTCACACACACATTCATACACCAATGGCGACAGAGCTGCCATGCAAGGTGCTGCCTGCCATTGGGAGCAACTTCGGGTTCAGTGTCTTGCCCAAGGATACTTCGACTGTGAAGGGGCAGGGGATCGAACCGCCAACCTTGCTATTAGAGGACAACCCGCTCTACCACCTGAGCCACAGCCGCCCAAATTCACAACAAATGAATGAATGTGTAAGAATCTATGTATTATATATAAAACATTAAATTTTACATATTCATTATGTAGTATATATATTTCACACGTGTAAATATAATATATATTATATTAATGTTGAAAAGGCCAATGTAAAAACTATGGCTAGAAAATGCTTAAATTCTAAAACTTTAATTCAGGAAAATTATAATGAAATATTTCTTTTTTTTTTTGCTTTTGCCTTTATTTAGTGCAGTAGAGGGAGACAGGAAAGGGGGGAGAAGAATGGGGACAGACCTGCAGCAAAGGGTCGTGAGCGGGATTCGAACTCACAACCGCTGCATCAGGGAGCTACAGCCCCTGTTCATGGGCCGCCCGCTCTACTAGGTGAGCTATAGGGGGGCCCGAAATATTTCTTTTTATTTATTTACAATATATTTTTGTGCATTTACACATACATGCATTAATTTATTTTCTTTTCTGTTTTTTTATTTTTTTTTTTTGCAGTGCAGTCATTAATTTAGAATTCATTAGTAAATAAGATTAACATAAAATAAACCTGAGTAATTCATGTTTTCACAGGTGCTCTATATCTGGATTATTATGCTTCTCACAAGAAATATGTCCATTTCGGGAAGCTATTTCAGTCTTTCTTAGTTAGGAGGCAACTCATACTGGAGAAGTCGTGATTACATGGTCAGCATCTTAAAACCCCGAGGCCACCATTAGATGTGAAATGTTTCTTCCTGACAAAACCCACATGTGCCAGAATGTGAAACTCCATCTCCAAGGTCACGAATGACGTGTCAAGTTCTACTTTTAAATCAGCGTTGATGAGAAGTCCTAGAGGCGCTCGGATTCACTGAAACATCTATACTTCCCAAACCCAGTGAACCCAACTGTGCCGCAGTTGAAAGCTCCAGGATGAGCGAGTAGGTGGACGCTGAGCTTCAATGCATCGTCGACATTAAAAAAAAAACAAACAAAAAAAAAAGATGAAATTTGCATTTAACTGAGAATTATATGAAAATCCCTTGTGCCTGCATGTGAATTTGTAATGTGCTAAATGTGTGGTGATAGAGTCATCATCAACGCTTTTAAGTACATTAGCCATGAAATGAGATGAGATGTAGGCTGTTTTCAATACTAAACATATGCAGCTGAATCCATCAGGCTGGGAATGCAAACATAAGCAGGAATTCTGTTTACCATGAAATGAAAAGTTTTTTTTTTTTTCTGATACTAAAGCTATCAGTTGAAGCTAGGTGACCTCAACCAACCCCTCTGGGTGCTATGGTAACTAAACCAGCAACTAAAATTACACTCTTAACTACTTTTCGGTGCAAAAACACAGCATATTTCAGATTTAAGCATCAAGTTTGTGTCTGCCTGCCTGCCTGCTGGGATACAGTTCCAGCTATGCATCAGGCAACACAAAAACAAAACATGCTACGCTGCATAAATCAAAAGATGTGTCCAACAACACCAACAGAAATTTCACCGAAAACACATAAACTCCTGCGGGAGGGCCGTTCTAGTCGGCATCAGCAGCTTCAATAGTCTGTATGTGGTGCCATCAGGAATGAGAGGAGCCGCCTTTGTCTGCAGTTTCCTGATGCGGCAAAGAACTACAGGGAAAAGTAAAGAATATTACATACTCTCAGTAAATCCAAATGACAGCATGCGTGAAAGAAACGCTTCACCTGCAGCGAAATGAATTCCTTTCGGCCTAGCGGTGTGGCAATCACAGCCACCGAAAATGGCTCACGAGGGGTCTTTGATTACTGTTTTCATGAAGGCAGAGGGGAGGTTATATGCATGGAAAATGGGCTGGATACATGCTTTAAAGAAACAAACTTTAAAACCAGGAGCAATTTGCTTGAACCAACTATTGATATTTGGAATAACTATGGAAAAATCCAGAGAGACTGGACAAACATCCAACACTCTTCCAAACAAAAAGTTTCCCTGCTCAAAACACATACAGTAGGACTCTTCATCTGCAGGATTCTATTTTAATAGGCTGCGGCTTCTGCAAATAAATGAATGAATGGTGCTTAAGTGGGCATTTAAGACACATTTTGCATGTCAAAATAATATACCATCTATGGCCCATTATGGCCCATTGGGGATCTTTGAAGAATGAGGCTATGCAAGATGTTTTCCAAGCACTCTAGGTCATTTAAAATACCTTCATTCTTCAAACAACTCCGTAAACACGCCATTTGTATTCAGGTTGGGTAGAAATGGAATTGGTCTATGGTGATGTACTCCAGCGGCGACGACAGCAGCCACCCGTGAGAGTGTTAATGCTCCTATTAAACATTTGTTGTGGGGTTGTGGGCCTGTTTGTTACGGCTCCACGCATGACAGGAATGCGCGGATATTTTAATGAGCCTAGTTTCCGTAACCTCAGACCACATTCTTCATTGGGGTCCCCGACTCCAACAACCTTAATCTCCCACTGGTGCCATTTTTTCCCCCTCCCCACATCTGAAGATGCTATATATTTTTAAGGCTTCTAGGCAACAGCTCATTCCCTGTTTTACTGCCTGCCGGATTCTGTGTATTGACAAAAGCTCCTATAATACTGACACCAAGGCCACACAATTGGCCTTGACTCCTCACAATGGCAAGGATATAAACAGAACACAATAAGAAGAGTGGTGTCACAATACTATAGTCACAGTTATGTGGAAAACACAGTTGGACTACTGCATCACCAGCGTAGCAGCATCATTCTGGGTCTTGACTAACACCCCAAATTACTTTTTTGTTCATCCAACAACACCATTATAATATTAATTCCCAAAAGCTTTCCGTGCACTTAATGCAAAGTCAAATTAAGTCTGTGTCTTGTACGAGATGGGTTCACATGGGTACGACACATACGAAGCAACCTTGTGGATCAATTTGCACTTGAGAGCTTCATTTTGCAGGGTGCATTTCTGCTGTGTACCTGAGCAAGAGCATCTAATTGGACCAAAACAAGCAACTACCCATAAAATCCTGGATAACAGAAAAGAGACCGAGCTGGTTTGTTTTCTTTTTTTTTTTAAAGTTTCTAATGTGTTAGGCTGCAGGGTTCCATGCACTTTGGATAATGAGTCCTCTGGTAATCATGTACAAAAATAAGGCATACTAAAATATGTTGTACTGCATCGAATGCTTTCTGGCTCCGTTCCTTCTACCACAGGGTTTAGATAAGAAAAATAAAATAGAGCGTTTTTAGCGTTCTCCCTCGAAATCGCATTATTAAATGCAACATACAGTTCTTCAGAGTTTTCTACCATGAAGAAAAAAACTTTACATTTGAGGGAACACTGTCAAATTGCTGCAATGAGATCCAGCATGACCAAAAACATAACAAACCAGCCCATTAGACAGGTTGTAAGCAACTCAAATAGGTTCGAGACATCTTATTTTGAAAAAAGGGAGGCGAGCACTAAAACTGTGTGCCCACAACAATGGCTATTATAGTAGATATAGTCTTTAAACTATGATGAACATTTTGGTTATTAATTTTACAGTTCTAACCTTTGTAATCATCTATTTCTTTCCTCATTTTTCTGCTTGTGTTGTTGCCATGCCCACACTTCTCAGTAGTGAATGCAATGACTTCTATTATTACTGCTACACAAATAAGAACCACATTACATGAAACTGTAATTTCTCTGTCTAGACTTTGCAAATATTGACAGTTTGATATTTTTACAATAAATGTCTGTTTTTCTGCGTCTTCATCATCGCGGCTCGTGTGTAAAACGAGCCTGTTATTGATGTGTGACTCATGCATGACGGCGGTTCGCTCATTTTGACTCAAAGATCAGAAAAAAAAAAAACATGATTCAAACCACAATAAAACACCTGACACAATCTGAAGGCAGGCAGCAGCCGCTATTTCTTTTTCTTTTTGTAAATCAGCTTGCTTGTTCTTATGATCTATGTTCATATTAACCCTCTGGACTCCGTAAGCCGCCTGCAGTTGTGAAAGGCATTTTGTCTTTGCCAAAGTTACACCACTTATCAGAGTCAGAAACTGTAAAAACAAAAAGAATCATCTGGTTTCAACTTCCTGAATATCCTCAAATTATTCATCTTAAAATCATCCATTATCTATACACTGCTTAATCCTCACTAGGGTCACGAGGGGGCCGGAGCCTATCCCAGCTGACTTAGGGCTATTGTCTATTGCAGAGCCACACTTAGAGACCGACAACCAAGCACACTCACATTCACACCTACAGACAATTTAGAATTAACCTCAACATGTTTTTGGACTGTGGGAGGAAGCCGGAGAACCCAGATAGAACCCACGCTGCACGGGGAGAACATGCAAACTCTGCGCAGAAAGATCCTGGGTGTCCTCACCGGGACGCAAACTAGCAACCTTCTTGCTGCGAGGTGATGGTGCGAACCACCGAGTCACCTTGCAGCTCTCATCTTAAAATTGCGATATTTAACTAAAATCATTTTATTCTACATATATGCTTAAGAAAGTTTCCTCTAACCCCATCCTGTAAAAAAAATAAAAAAATTAGTGCCTTTGTGCAACCATAAAGCTTCAACTAACATTCATGTAAAAATGTGGGACTTTTTCACTTGAACTGGACTGAACAGCAGGCAGTGCAAATACGAGACTAGTATGGACATAAATTAAATATGTACGTAGTAAAATATTCATACTATAAAGAAGCACCACCTTAAAAACAAAATCAGTAATGACTGGTAAAATGGAAAATGTTGCACATTCGTATTTCATTTTGTCTTCATGATTTATGGTATTATAACTTTGTTAGTTCTCTTGACTTCTAGCCATAAATGTACAAAAATGAGCCCATAGTGAGTAAAAATGTGAGGATTAATTGAGGGGTGAATGATAAATAAAGGCTAAATAATGCTTTACAAAAGTTATATTTGTTCTTTCTTAGCACAAAAAAGTGGAAAAAAAGTAAAATGAATACATTGAGCTCCCTCCCAAAGCCATGATATGATTCGCACACTGTGCAATTTCTCCGTAACATGGCACCACGTACAACTTGAGCCTCACCTTCGGTCGGGCAGGATGGGAACCCTCCAGCCTTTGATGAAGCTGAGATTGTTGTCAGAAAGTTCCACCTGCAGGGGAAGTTTGGGCACCCAGACAGTCAGCTCCAGCGGTGCGCTCAGATGCTCGTAGCTGAAGATGACCCTGGCGTTCATGGAGCCTCGCGTCTCCTTCCCATTCACGAAGACGTAGTCGCAATTCATGGACACCTAGGACAGATCACGGTCAGAAGTCAGAGACCATCTATATGGTAATGGTCACGTCGGCGGCAGAGGATCTAAGTGATATGTGATGATATACAGCTCAGTATGGATGCAGCTGTCACTGCCACAATTCACACCAAAGCACTTCAAGGTTGATGCTTTCAGCAGAGCAAATATACGCCTACGGATTTGAATGCCTATATTTTCATCTTAGCTTCACACAAAATTAGCAACAAGAACAAACAAACAAAAAAAAACAACACACATATCTCTCTCAGATCTTTATCATCAACCGAACACAATAAAGATAGATGAAATATTTTTATGGCGTTCACAAGCTCAGCAGTCACTTTCTAAATGCTGGGCAGGAGCTAATTTATATGGAAAAAATGCAAGTTCTGTACTTTTTCAATGCATGTTTTTCAAGTCAATTTACATTTACTGTATTGTGCACACTAAACCTGTCAAGCCTGGATAGGAGCTGCAGTTTATTTAAAACACAGAAGTAAAAAGCCTCGATAGCACAGCGCTGAGACGAACTGCTGTAAACAAAATGCTATCTGGCTCTGGGCTCTTCTCTAATTTGCATATTTTATGCAGTCAAATTATTGCTTCTAAGTAAGTGTTTGTTAAGCATTCTCAAATTAGGGATTCAAATGGCGTCCCGACCTCCACCACCTCTCTTGTCCATTCACATCATAATGATCTATGTTCAATTATACCGACACACAATACGCCAAGAAAAGCTTTTAGGCAAACACGTAATTCATCTAATATGACAGCAATGTGACGTCCCGTGTGAAGTTTAGCTCACAACACCTTTGGCACATAAATAAACACATTCACACGTGTCACCTTTCATGAGACGTAACGCGATATCATTCGGCGATGACACGAAGCATGAACTCAATATATGGACATTTCTAAATTTAAGTCTCAGGCAAATGCCATTTTTAACTCAAAACCATTCTTTAGCTTTTCCGTCCAGTCAAATTTCTCCAGCTCCATTTGAATTATCATAAATACTTGTCCCCTTCGAACACTAAATTATTAACTGCAATGGATCTGGAGGGCTTTGCTTTTGGGCTCTCCGTCGAAGATTTATCTAGTGTTGGGAGGTAGCTGGCATTGTAATCAGAGGATCTAATCTCCCGCAAATGGAGGTCGGGCTGGCCAGTCTTCTCAGGGCTGGGGATTCATCATAACTGGGAGGAGGTCTGGGTAATATAATTCCCCACATGCAGACAGGGCCGGAGTGGGGGGAGGGAAGGCGGGGCGGGCGGCGGAAAGGCCTTCTTAAAATGACAGTCTTTCCCTCTGGTTCGGTTAATGCAATTTTGTGGAGGTCTGACCTTAAGGGCTAGCACAGAATCCGAGCTCTGTCTGCTAGCACGTATGAACCGAGCAACAAAAGGAAGAAAAAGAAGTAACTCGACACAATGACCCCAGCCACCTTTGATTAATCACAGCATGACTTGCTGTGCGTAGAGTTGAGAACATCTGCCTGACATGTACTCCCCTCGACCCTTAAGCCACACACATATATGTATGCGCACACACACACACACACACACGAGTGAAAATGTGCCCTTGCTGCAGTGCCACTTCAGCTCCTGCAGCTATTGCCGCTGATAAACTTGGCTGGCTAATTGCAAGTCAAAAGCTGTTAGCAACTCTGGGTATCAGTGGCCCTGTGGGGGCTTGCTGAGGAGGGCTTTCACACACTGAGGCGCCACATGCCGTCACACTGCTGCTAATGCGCTGTGGCATCTTCCATGGTGCCAGCAGATTGCCTGGGTGGAGACGGATCATCAGGACAAGTGCGAGTGCTGCTTGCATTCGGTCGCGCGCTGGTCACAGGATGCAGAATGAGAGACCGGCTGGGTTAATAAAGGTGAAGACACCTAAGGACCTTTTCACACATTTATTCCATAACATTAACTGAATTAATTTCCCAAACGGTTTCCAGCGAAGGCAGCAGCTTCCGTCCTTCAAGCGAGCGCTGCTTTAATGCCGTTTTATTACGATGTGACCGTTCACACGGCGTTGCTAATGTTGCCGAGTCCTCTGTTCATCCACATTCTGCATTGATAGCAGTTAAACGCATTTGTTCACATAATCCAATATGGAACTTGAGCCATAATTTTATTGCGTTTTGAGCAGTCACGCTGCCAACACAGATTTACTGCCATTACATCATTGGCTCATTATTTACACATGACCCTATAAAGAGGTACTTTAGCTCTGGACTTCCACAAAGCCGGCTGAATTACAAAAGAGATTAAAAAGCAGCGGTTGAAAAGAATGAAGCCGAGTCCTGTGATTTCTGGACTTTTAGTCATTGTTATGGTTCAAAATCGAGAACACTGGACTCTTAACGGTCACTGCATTTACAGATGGATGAGCCCATAGGTTTATTGAAGAAAGGGTGTTAAAACTCAGTCTCTAGCCGTCGCCATCTTGGTAAAGCCTGACTCCTCTTAAATCTCGGCTAATTCAAAAATGAGCAACAAGGAGGACCCTGAGGTTGGCCATACTATATCCCTAGGTCATGAACTGTCCCATGACACTGCACAACTGTCACCTTCAGCAGCCACACCCTTAATTAGGCATAATTTTATGCCTTAATAAAACCTAAACAGATGAGTTCTATAAAGATTCACCCTCTGCGCAGTTGTCATGAATAGGGAAGTTAGCTGTAAAGACCAAAACCTTCTTCTGTACCAGGCTGTAAACATTTATTTCTGCTGTAAAGTTGGACATTTGAACGTGGAGTTCTATGGGGACTGATTGACTTTTGGAGCAGCCTCAAGTGGCCATTCGAAGAACTGCAGTTTTTGGCACTTGCATGTTGGCTTAATTTTTCAGGTTCTGTTTAGCTTCTGAACTTCCCATAATGCCTGTCCCCACCTAATTCCCAGCTCCATTTTGTGACGCTTGCAGTAAAATATTTCAATCCCGAGCTCATCATCACCGCAGTTACTAGGTCAGATTTGTCAAAGCTGCTTCAAAACTCCAGACAACACTCACAAACATTCACAGGCTCAGTAGTATTGAGTGAAAGGCCCGCCAATGACCAAGGCTGACTGATGTAGATTTATCAAGACAGATTTAGGCTTTTTTAAAGACACGTAGTGGTGGATAATAACACAAAGATAGAGGTGACAATATAAGATGTTACACACTGGTGCTGAATTTCCTAATGCAGGATTTCATTAATAATTCATTAATCCGAATTAAATAAGCTGAAAAATCAACAGGGAATTGGCGTGAGCAAGATCGTGTAATTACAGTGAAACAGCAGTCTCACTTTTCTCTGATGGTCACTGTGAGATGCTCTGACAGCAAAGTGTATATTTGGCTCTGATTAGCCGGCACAGAAGGTTGCCATGGTCACGTGTTATGTGTAGCTAATGTACAAGCCACCTGGCCACCACAAAGCACAAACAGGTCTTCAGAAAAAGAAAGAAAGAAATGAATTCAACCAAATGCAGGCAGGATTTACATTATTATCAAGTAGTCAGAAATTAAAAAGCTAAAATAAACCAGGTGATTTCTGCCCCCTCTGCTCCTGTGTTGCATCTGCAGATCATTTTATGCTCACACACTTCAAGTTCAAGAAACTGACGACGGGAAGTGATTTTCTCACCAGCGTTTTCATGTCAAAGATAACAAAGAGCAACATGATGCAGATGAAAAATGGAGATGTTGTGACGGCGTTCACATATTCATGCTGCGTGCCATGTGCTGCCAAACAGAAACCACAACCGGCTCGGATTTTATTTTCCCAAATTGAAATTTTCACTAAATTAATTGCCATGACACTCGGCCAAATGGAGGCTCCATTTAGGGATAACGTATGTATCAAATCAGCGCTGAATGAAAGCTGACATATGGTTAGCATTACTGGGATTGTGTCTTGTAGCTGTTATGAAGTTTCTCTTTATGTGATGGATGTTTGCTGGCTTCAAGAGCAGTGCAACCAATGAGTTCATTTAGCTCTATTAGCTAAATGAGCCAGCCCCCCATTAGCCCGTTGTTGGATTAATGATGTTGTGTGGAAATGATCTGTTGTTCTGGAGAGCTGGAACTTTTTGTTTGGACATAATTTTTAAAAAATTATCATCTTTTCATGCATTTCATGCAGCAGAAGTGATCAGTGTAAGCAAGTTCTTCACTTAACCGTCTGAACCCCAACCAGATTATGGACATTTTTTGCTCCTGCCACATTTCTACTCACTGTGGGCTTATTCTTCACCACAATATAAAGTCCTGCACCTCTATGGAAACAGTACAGCAATGGCAAGAAGGGGAAAGAACTCAAAAACACTTTCTGTGCAGTATGACAAAGGTATTATGCCATAAACCGTAAAAAAGAAAAGAAATTAGTTTATTACTTTAAAAAAATGTTAAAAAACAAAAAAACAAAAACAAAACTGAATTGACATTTACAACATTTTTTTCCAAGTTTACCAATATTGTAAAAAAAAAAAAAATACTATTGATATACGTTAAAACAGATATTTTACTGCTTACATTTTTAATTGGCTTCCATACTTTTCTTCTATCACTTCCTTGACACACAACTCAATCGAGTTCAGCCTAAAAAATCATTGAATTTTTTTTGTATAACTGTGAGTCAGTCATTAATTTTTTTGGTTTGTTTCTTGATAGCATCTTTGTTAGTACAAAGGTTTGTTTTTTGGCTGTTATTTTTTTAAAAAGAGATCTGCAGATTAAACAGATTTTCATGAAATCATGAAATATCATAATTTTAAGGTTAGTTATAGTAAAAATCTGAGAATTCTTAATGTTTTTAGAGTTTCCAGCTCTAATCAATGGTGTAATTCTGTCAGCTTTTAAACAGCATGGTTTTAAACACTGCTGGCAGGTTTTGAGGTTCAGAGGGTTACAGTATATACTGTATATATAAACTCACCTCTACTGTCACCTAGTCATCCAGGTAGTTTGGTTTTGACATATAAAATTCATCTCTGAATATTTTC